CCGCCCCCACCGCCTCCCCCGCACCCCGACCCACCCACCCCCCCCACCCCCCCCCCCACAACCACCCCCCCCCCCCCCCCCCAACAACAAATGCAGAATACTGCACAAGAAGCGCCATGTCCAGCTTGTTAGTTGAATCCATCGTAAAGCTCATCTAGCCTCGATTTCTTGGTAAACGTCCCTAAGGGGCTTTTGAACCTTCCAGTTTGATACTGAAGCTGAAGGTAAGACAAGTCTACGGGCGAGCCTCTCACACCAAGATCAATCTCAACCTCTAACCCTATATACCCCTTTTCCCCCTAGCAAATGACGCAGGTAGCAGGGCTGGGCGTTCCAGAAGAAGACCACGAAAGAAGATGATCAAATTCGTGGGCCTTGCTCCAGCATGCTGAGTCAGCGTCCTGGACCAGTCACATTGAGGGAGCACGTAGACGACGACACATTTCTCGTTAGCCACTGATCAATTATTTAAACTCATGCTGCTCACTTCTTCCGATTCTCCTGTATATAGTGCTGCCTCGAGTTTAGTTGATAACACCGACGGAATATCTCGTTATGACTCAAGCACGGCCAGAGCAAGTACGCTTTCCTTTCCTTTGGAGGCGTTATCTAAAAACACCCAGTCACTTTATATCCCACCTCGCATACCTGGAGGTTGGCCCCACCGGGAAGAAATTCGCTGCGCCCAGCGGGATAATCCAAAGCCTCCGGTATGTGGTTGACGACGATGTTGAGGATATCTTTGGCCATATCCTTCAGTACCTTCACAGTGGGGATTACTCTGTCCTTATTTCAGCAGCCGATAAATCGAGTCATGCTGCATGCGAAGATGAAATCGATATTGCAACACAGGATCTACATCCCTTGAAAGAAAATCATTTTGCGAGTCATGAAGATATCCAGGTGCACAGCGACAATTCGATATCTTTGCCACATTGTGGAGATGGAAACCACCTGTGCAAACATTCCGAGACACTGCTGGTGCATGCTCGTTTGTATGACTTCGCTACTAGACATGGATTGGACCAACTTCGTAATGTGAGTTTGAACAAGCTTTACTGGACTCTCTCGGAATTTCCGTTGGATTCAGAACAAGCGGACGCAATCGTCGAGCTTTTACGGGTTGCCAATGGAATAGGCACCATCTATACGCTAATGATTCACGTGCGATCTCCTGTTGCCCAGTCAACGAAGTCTAAGATCTTGGCCACTGCCTTATAACCAATGTTATAGTACAGATATGCCCCAAATCGGTAGTGGAATGCATTGTCAGATGTGTCGTAGTCACCATGAGCCTGGAAGGAGACGTCGGTGTTCACATAGCCACTCAGCTGAGCATCCATCAAGGTTTTACCCGCAACAATCTTGCCGCCACCAATCTTGATACCAACGCTGGCTTGTGGGTCAATGAGAACATCAATCTGTGCACCGATGGCGACTCCAGCGTGGAACACTGGCTCAACTGTACCCGGGGCGGGAGATCCTGATTTATAGTGACGACGACCAGTGCGCATGCGGCGCACAAGAAACAGTCACCCATGCGATGGTGGATTGCCCAAACTTGAGGGAACCGCGGAGAGAGCTGAGGAGAGAAGTTGGAGATGCGCTTAATAGTGTGTCGAGCCTGCTGGGAGGCTCAAAACAAGGTGAGAAAGGTAAACCGGACACCGTCTCGCGAGCCAGGACGGTCAAGGCCGTGCTGGACTTTGCCGAGGCGTCACAACGGTTTCGGAGTCGCGCGCCACCGGGGCAACCTAATAATGGGAAGGGCAATTAAGCCACGCCAGGCCTTGATGAGGCTCTAGGTTCGTTTTCAGGAAGTGGAACACTCTACATGTACGTACACGGATATATATAGTAGTGGTATCTGCATATCGTTCGCGAGGGCTCAGGGTAAATGATTTCACACACATACACCCCCCCCCTGTAAGATGGCTGTATTTACTCGCCGCCAGCCGAGGGAATCCTATTAGTCTGGCATGCATAGCGGTTCCTCTGCGAAAATGTGATGAGTCTTGGGCTCAATAGTGTATAAGACTAGTCCGATCTTCTTCCCTATTCCGTTCCTAGCTGATACATACGCATAATTAGGGTTGAAGGAGAATGTGAATGTTTGCTACTATCATACGCGGGAGGTATATAACGCACTAGGTGAAGTCATCGTTGCATTGTATAATGTAGACCTCGGATTCTCTCCACATTTTCAAAGCTGGGCCTGTTAACCGTGTATGGTCCATAAGAGCTCAAACGGACCGTTCAAGTCCCGTAAGATGTGTCTGTCACGTGCTATTTCTAGCCACTTTAGGTTAGGCGCGGTATGTGCCAGCGAAATGCCGGGTGGTGATTGCTTCGGGCTGAGTATAAGAAAAAAGCGATATTCACTACCTCTTTAAACCTGTGTTTTCCATCTTTTAGGCAAGGTATTAACTAAGTTATAGTTAGTAAGAGCATGTAGTTAATATTCACTTGTGTGTATCAAAGGATTATAGGTTAAAGGAATGATTTGTGCGTTCCTCACCATATCAGCCCCGCTCTCCACACCCCTCCCCGGTGTCTCTTCCGCATCTTCCCCTTTTATCTTCTCTTTAAGCTTCCTAACCTTTCCTCGTGATGAATGACATGGATTCTTTGCCTCCTCCTCCATGGGGTACACTGGCTGTCGAACAATATCTTATCGTATGTTGTGCCTTTTTGTTTCTACTTCAGATGCTAATCCTGTGCAGATAAACTGGAATAACTCCTCCACCAAAACCCCCGACTAGCAACGAAAAATGTTGGTCACTGAGTTCCTCGACATGGAATTTATTCCCCTTGAATGGGCCGAAGATTGGGATAGCCTTCCAGCGGGTATCGATCCGCCACGTGCGCCTACAACAGAGGAGGTGGACACAATTCTCCGACCTTACCGCAGCGACGTGCTTCGATGGCACGCAATGAATCTTTTCAATGACCAGACTTGTCCCGCTTTACTACGCACGCACTATTGCACCGACGAAGAAGAGAAAGCCAGACACGATGATTTAATGTCTGAATGGGTCGATTCAGATCCCTTTGAATCAGAAGCCTGGTGGGCGGTTCTCAATAATGCGGATCTCTTCAACTTCGGATCGGAGTGGCGGCGTGTGTACGAGATTCTTCCCGAACTTGCGGGCCCACTTGAACCCGAGGTCGATGATAGAATGAGGATTCCGCGCGCCCGTAAAGCAGAAGACCTTGAAACTTTCCGCTCTGATCTCAAAACGCAAATTGCCGAAGCAAAAGAAGAAGCCCCGGAGGCTTGGCGCGATGACCGAGACACAATCATCGATAGCCTCGCGATAGGGTTACAAAAATGCGCCACGAGGACGTATCTTATCCTTGCGGACGAGGAGGCTTTCCGGTCTGGAAGTTTGTATGTGCTTTATTTAGATGGTTTCCGAAACGTCATTCGCGAAGGTCGTATGGATCCTGAGATTCACGATCTCTTTGGTGTGATTGGTACATGGATGGAAACCAACGAATTCCTTGAGGGCTCTACTGTTGGGGAAAAGTATCGAGCCAGTGCAGAATTAGGGAGGGAACTGTATCAATTGACGGAAGAAGAACTTGCAGACCCTAATCAATAGATGAAATGAAGAACGTGGTGTTGCATATACACTAGATAGGGTGAACTAAAAGGTGAAAAAGTTGCCAGACACTTCGGAATTCGCTCCAACAGGAGAGTCCGTTTTCCGGCGTCTTGCAAATGGCTGTCTGCTCCGCCAAAGAAATAAAAAATAAAAAATTCATCGACATTCAAGGCAAGTTACCTTTCATGTTCAGAACCATCCAGATCCGCAGGCTTCAATAACTGAGCCATCTCGGCATCGTCCACATCCTCCACATATTCAATGCCTAAAAGGAGAATCAGCAAGCGCTTGAGTAGACATCGTTCGGCGTCCACATACTTTCAACTTCCCATTCACCCCACTTCTGAGCGTCCCGTTTAGATGTGCCCGAGCTGCTGCTTGCGCTGTTTTGGAAACGAATGAGACATCTTCCCATGGTAAAATCGACGCCCCAAGCAGGGGGGGCCATACCACCCTGGTTGGTTCTTTTGCAATATGCGTTGTACTCTTTTTGCACGCCGATTGGTGTTCCATCTGACTTGACTTTCACACCAGGTAGTTTATACACGTTGCCCTGATTAAAATGATTGACCGCGCAAAGAACCGAGTCCATGGTAAGAGGCCCATTGTATTTGGGTTTGTACCATGTCGGTTGGTTGGCATTCCACCAGTCTGCGGACGTGAGTGGTGTTTGAGGGTTAAGCCAGGAAGTCTCATAGTCCCGTTTTAAAGCCCACGATAGCTTCTTGTTATCTCCCTGTCACCGCTTTGTTAGGTAAATTCCTAAATCCTGAAATTGAATACATACCTGGTCCCCACCATCTGGAGGAGGCATTTCTTCGCCGTATTCAATGAGTTTTTGTTCATATGGTATGTTTTGCCCTATCCCATACTTGCCCGCGTGGGTCCAGTCTAACGCAAAAAGACATAGTGTTAGATAGCCCAATTGCGAAGAAATAGAATATAAGCTTACCGGTTCGTTTCTGCCATGATGCCCAATAATCTATCTTCTTGGAATCTTTCCGGGACTCAGGGTCCAGTTGTTTCCAGTTCGATGAAAGTTGTCCAACCAATTCTAAAAATTTATTAGCAAGTTTCCCACAGAATCCAGAACAACCCAATTATAGATGAAAAAGAATTAAGCACTTACGGACGCAATTTCCGTGCCATGCATTCTGGAAGCTGGTGACACACTCCGTACGACGCTGACTCGCAGGTAGCCATTCTCCTCCCTGCTCACTAGACCCCCAGGGAAATTCATCACACTGGAGGCTCAAGCCCCTTCGCCTAACTGCCTTGTTAAGCTCAGCAGTTGGTGCCGAACATTTTGTTACACTCTGGCCACCGACTGTCTTTCTCGGGTAAACTGAGTTGCGTCTGGCTGTTACCCCGTCCTAGGAGAATGTGAACTTTAAGCGTAATGGCGTAAGATTAACGATATTATCACAGAGGCCGGGCATATCATATGTCAGCCTTTCCTGAAGATCTCCGTCGGTATCAAGGATCTCATTTATGGCCTGGTACGGACCAAAAAAGCCGCAATTGACTGTTAATACATGCTTAGTCAGTCTACAAAAGAAAATGTTACATTCGACGAAAACTTCTAAACTTATATCGCAATTCTGGTAGCTAGAAGCTACTAGCTCCGGCTGGATAATGGCCCTGTTTTATGAACTTGGGGGTTTTAGGGTCTAGGTAACTAGTTAGTTTCTGATACTGATTAATACACTTGTCACAGATTTTGTACCTAAAGTTGTAATATTAGCTCGGCGAAATATATCGGCAGCTGTTTCTAAGATAGATATTGTGCTATTTTTAGATAGGTCTACTGTAATTTCATACTCTTAAGTATCGGCTTCTATAGAAAGGCCTCGCTTCCCTATATTAGATTCTAATATCGGAATGGTACCAGTCTTTTCGTATAATTTGAGCATTTTATCAGGTAAATATGCCTTACGATTACCTGTTGCCTAGTTAATAAAGCTGAGAATCTTAGCTAGAGCCTTATATCTAATATTATAGTACAGATAGGCCCTAAATTAGTAGTAGAAGGTATTATTAGACGTATCGTAGTTACTATAAGCCTAGAAGGAGAGGTCAGTGTTTATATAGCTACTTAGCTAAGTATCTATCAAGGTCTTGCCGGTAATAATCTTGCTGCCACTAATCTTGATACTAATACTGGCTTATAGGGTGATAAGAACATTAATCTGTGTATCGACGGCGACTCTAGCGTGGAATACTGGTTTAACTGTACCTGGAGCCGGAGATTTAGTCTTACTCTTAAGGCTAAGTAGGTTTAAATATTTGTCTTATAAGTTATTGTCCTAAGGCTAAAAGACTTCAGCCTTTCTGAAAGACATCTTTGCTCCTATATTAAGTAAGCCGAAGAGTATGATCTTACCGCGAATCTGGATTTGATCTTAGTATTAGAACTGTAATAAATCGATTCCCTAGGGAAATCACCTAGCCGTAAATATCTAAGGTAGGCCCAATAGCTGCAATTCCCTTAATAGCTAGTCTAGGGTAAGTAAGGGTATTAATAATCTTCTTTTAGTCAGTCTATATCTATACTATAACCCTGCCTTTAATGTATAGACTAAGGTAGGCTTCAGGCTCCATTCTAAAGTAAGCGAAAGTCTCTGGCTTACTAGGAGGAATAAATGTGGCTAAGAGATAGTAGGCGTAAGTTGTATCTATAGAAAGATCGGCCTCTAAATCTATCGATAATTCACTAAAGTAAGTCTGTAAAGGTATACGTTATGCGGGTATACGGCCTATCAACCAGGTAAGATACAAAGGGCTTTATAGAGGGAACACAATATATTGATAGTATGCTAAGACTAATTCTTACCAGTCTCGGAGGGGCCCCTAGGGGGTCCTAAACTATAAGGAAATCTATCTACCTATATTTATATAATAAACCCCTTATAGATCGATATCGAAATAAATATATAATAATATAGATATTCCTTCCTAAGCCTATATAGGTTTATATATATTTCCCTCTTATATAGACCTTTATCTATTATAATTATCTCCCCCTCCCTATATAGATATCCTTATCTATATATAAA